CTTCTCCCACTCCCATTCTCTGCGGCCTGCTGGAGCGGGAGGGCTAGGAGGAGTTGGCCATCCGACTGCGGTCTGGGGTGTGGGGCCTCCCTGCTGCTACGGAGTCGGGGTGGTCTGCCTCTCCCCACCGCAGGGAAAAGGGTAACACCACCTGGGTCTGGGTGCAGTTCCCCCCCCCTCCAGGGGCAAGGGTACCTAGACCCGGTTTGTAGAGTACGCTTGGGGAGTGTGATCGTGTGTACAGCGTCTCTTTATGTCTGTCTCCACGTTGGTTGAGTGTGGAGTGAGTGCATATGAGAGCATGAGGGGGGGGGAATGGATGTTTGTGTCTGTGTGTGCCTGTATGTCTGTGTCTATATGTCAGGTTGGGTATCAGACGCCACCTCTCTGGGGACACCTCAGGCCCTCCAAGGTTTGGAGGCCTATCTCCGCCCACCACCACTTCCCCTGCCAGTGGCGGACTCCCTCAGGTGTCGGTGCGTTGGTGGTTCTTTGTGTCTGGGGGTGGGCGTCCAGGTACACACCGGCTCACTCCTTGGCGGCCGCTTATCGGGGCCTGGAGCCTAGGGCTCGCTCGGGCGCCTTCGGAGGTGGGGTGCCCCCGGCCTCTCGGCCTGGGGCTCGGTCACTCAGGCACAGCTGGGGGAGCTCATGGGCGCGTCACTGCAACTCCCCCTGGCTTCTGCTCCGTGGCTGCTGAGGGAGCCCTCATCTGGGACTCTCCTCAGCTCTTACTGGAACAGTGGCGCGGCTGCCCCTCTGTTGGTCTTCCATGGTCTCTTGTGTTCTGGGGGCCTCTGGATGTCTGGAGTTTTGATCTCCTCCATACCCGCTTCATGCCCTGGAGGACGGGGCTGTGGCCCCCCCACACACTCCCTAGCAGATCATTACACGGAGAAACCTTTGGAATACAAGCGCGCTGATCGACACAGGTATGCACACGGGTGTTCACTGCTCGTAGACCCAAATTACACCTTTCTTGGCTGCTACTTCGAAGCACATCTGTCCTGCGTGCTGCACAACAACATTGAATATTTAGTATTTACTGCTGTTTACACTTAGCTAGATTAATGCGATGGTGTTGTGTTTAGTATGTTGCTCTGTTTTTTTTGCTTGTCTTCTATTCCTCTCTCAACAGGTGATCCAGGAGATTTTTTTTTTTCTCCCCCCCTTTCTCACTGTCCCTCTCCCCTTCTGTTTTTCCTTTCCTTCCTCTTTCTTTCTCCCTTTCCTATCCCTCACTCATGTCTGTCCCGTCTGTAACATCTGAAAATAAAATATAATAAATAATAAAAACAAAGATTGACCAAATGGACCAATACGGCAATGCCACGATGATCCATTTGGCAAAGTAAATCCATTGGGTATCCTTGTTGGTCTTCAGACAACAATTCTGATGGCTAAAGAACCAAATGGGACAGGCAAAAAAAAAAAAAAAAAAAAAAAAAAAGAAATGCTGTTTCAAAGGAAGCATCCTTTGAAACAGACACTAACATGAAAACAGGTTCAGCAGCTTTACATTCTCTAAAATGGAGAACAGACACTAGATATGGAAGAAAAAACAAGATGGCAGTTGCTTCATGACGGGAAGCCAAGAAAGTAGAAAACAAGAAAAGAGCTCTGATACTGCTGAGCAGAGGAGTCAAGTATGTGAGAAATGATTTTTATTATATATTGGGGTTTGTTTGTTTTTTTATTAAACGGCACAGAAGATTAGAGCGATTGACCAACACAGTCTTAATCCTAACTCAAACAGAGAACCCTCCCTGCTCTCTGAACACACCAGAAGAGAGCAGACAGAGTTTCTGTGATTTCTATTTCATCATCATGGTTTGGGTTAAAATACACTGTTTAGCAACACTGAGTTAAAAGTCATTTGTTTAGCTTTAAATCCTTTTTTAAAGCAACGTTTCACACTTATATTACTTTCAGTAGGAACTATGAGAACAAACTGTTTCTATATTGACAGCACCAGTTCAGTTCAATTTTATTTCTATAGCAAAAACAACAAACCAAAAGTTGTTTCTGTAGTAAGGTAAAGACGGCTACAGTAATACACCCCCCCTCCCCCCCTCAATCAATCATATGAGCAAGCGCTTTGGTAAAAGGCGGAAGGGAAAACTCCCTTCTTACAGGAAGAAACCTCCAGCAGAGCCTGACTCAGGGAGCGCCGCCATCTGCTGTGTTGGGGTGAGCGAAGGAAGCTGAACAGAAAGCTGACAGATCGCCTATAATAACATCAGAATTAATAGTCTCGACTTTATTAATAGACCATAATTCATGTGTAGACAACAAGTTCTTCACATGATTATCAAATTAATTCAGGGACACAGGCATAAATAAATGTTTAAAAGCTATATTATAAACTACAGCAATTTGTATAATATCCCTATAATGTTTGTAACAGGAACACAGTCAGGTGAGAAGAAGCGTTAGTTTCTTCCTCTGTCTTCCATCATATTCGTGAGAAACAAAAATGCTTTGTATGATAGGCGGTGTTTTAAGACAAGGAAATAATCTTCATGAAAATTTAAACTGGAAAAACAGGTAACTGCATGCAGCATAGTTTCAGTTTGCAGCACATCTGATCTTTCGGATGCATCAGCGGTAACAACAGGTTATTTAACAGAGCTGTAAAAACACTAACATACATCAGAAGTTTATTTACTCAGTAATCCACATTATTTATCAGATTTTTTTTACTTAAAGTAAATAAGAAATGTCTCACTTCCTGTTCTGTTCTACCAGCTTGACAAGTTTCTGTGACTTGTCAATCATCAGCTATCAGTAGAGAAACTGTTTGATTGTTTGAAACAGCTTTCTAGTCTGTTCCTTCTACTTTTAAATCCAATTTTCTGTTTTCATGAATTATCCTGAGTCATTGTTAAAGGAAAGCATCAACAGTCTGGATCAGACTGTTGATGCTCTGTAGTTCCTCAGCTCTGCTGACAACAAGGTCTGAGACAGACTCAGACCTGAGCTTCTGGACACAACTGTGCAGTCTTTGTTAAAGTGGTTTAGATCTGAACATCTGAACATCCTCAACTGAATTTGAACATACTGAGTGCCTGGTATATAAGGACTCTGACATCAGATAACTAGTACTGATTCATGTTGTATCTTGTGTGGAGATGTTAACCTTTACATGAGTATAGCTGCTCTAAAACAGTCTTTTTACAGAATAAAGTTTACAGAATTAAGTTTCCCACAGAGCACAGACCGAGGGTGCAAAGAGTCAAGGAGCCTCTGGTTTCATAAGACTTTTTCAAAAGTATCACAGTTAGGTTCTGCACTTTACATCTTACACGTTCTTCATTTATGGAGGGAGAGGCATAAATGTGTTTGAGACTTTACTCTGACAGTAAAGACGTGATTCACTTAATGCGAGCCTTCATTGAGACTGGAAACAGTTCAAAAGTAGCAAAATTTCAAAGCGTTAAAAAAAAATTCAGAGACTTGGGACCTCAAAATAGAGAGAAACACAAGTGACCACACTCTGACCAACTATTAATGATTAAAACCTTCAAATGCTAAAGAAGAAAACTCCAAATCCACTTATTAAGAACAAGTGAACATGACAACAACACAAAGACGTGGAAAAGTCGACAAGTTCATAATCTTTTACGCACATTATCCATGATGTAAGTCACAGCATGCAGGGTTTAAAACATGCTGTTAATGTTTGCGGTTTTTGTGAGAATATATTTTTTATTCTGAGATTCCTTGCAGTGATCCTGAACTGAGCTGGAGCTTCTTTGTTTCTTGTTTTCTCAACATTGCTTTAGTAAGACCTGAATGTTGACTTCTTAAGAACAAACTGGTTTTATCTGACTTTTTCTAGTTAAAGGGAAGAACAATGTTCTATCAGATTACTGATTAGTGTCTGATGGGTCTAAAGTTTCATACAGATCGATATATACTGTCAGTAACTGTTGCAGAGTTACTGACGGATAACCAGTGTGGATTCCAGTCAATCAATAATCTAAAATGATGTGGATTAGTCTTCAAACACAAGAGTGATCCAGAGTTTGTCCTGAAATAAGAGCTGAACATCTGCTCCAAACACTAGAGAGCAGAAACAAATAGTAAAGTTCATAAAACCAAACTGTTAAAGGAGGAAATAAAGCAAACTTACAGTTTCTTCAAACACACACACAAACAACAAGCTCCACTCCACACCTGGACACTAAACATGGACACACAGGTGAACTGCTTCCTGTAAGGAGGCGGGACTCCACCTGGAGCAGGACAGGTGGGAGGGGCTCATCTCTGTGTGTATTGATGTGTGAAAATATGTTGTCTGGCTGCTCAGACTGAGTCTAAGTCAGAGTAAAGTTCACATGTTGACGTGTGAAGACATGAAACCTTGTATCTGCAGGTGTGAACACACTGATCCCACATCAGCTCTGTTGTATTTAAAATATAAACATTTCTACTGCAAAGCTTCAAATATTCAGCATGCTTTTCTGTCTCTCTGTCTATAGATCCAGTAACACCTTCTATCTTCACCAGTAAAGACTGGGAGCAGAGCTGAAAACAACCATTCAATCAGTGAGTATCTTCGACACCTGAGCTTTATTCAAACTGTTATTCAAAATGTTGTTAGTACAAAGTTCAACTGGTGCTCCCATTAATCCTATGATGAAAGCTTTATTTCAGTAAATGTTTCTTCAAAGCTCATTTCAACATATTGAAGTCATGAATGAAGGTGCAGTCAGAGTGGATCACATGATTTGTGTCGTGTGTCATGTTCAGTATTGTCACACATATCTAGATTATCTCTGATATCATAACTGCTGAAACACTGATGATTATTTTTGAAGTTATTACTGATGGCTGGAAAGTCTGAATGCAGCTCTCTGTCTGTGTTGATTTGTCGTCCTCTGAAGGTGAAAACACAAACTGCATGATGTCACCTGTGGGTGTGGCTGTTCCTTCCCTACACTCTCTGATGTCATAGCTGCTAAATTAGATTGAACTGAAGCCAGACTTAAACATAAAACAGCATCAGAGACTCAGAGAGAGAGAGTGCTGCTCCATCTCTGGACCAAAATTTATGTTCCACCACCACGCTGCAATGAATCCTGGGATCGGGTGGACCGACTTGTCCTTCAAATCCAGGGAGAAGGAGGACACGTTTGTAGGAGCCTTGGATTCTGGATGGGCTTCGTCGCCTTGGTGTGATGTAATCGACCTTCAGATGAAGCAGAGCCTAAATTTAAACACACCTGCTGACTTCATGTGTTCTGCTGTGACAGCTGCCATGTGTCACAGCGTGGATAATAAAGCCATCAAACTTCACTCAGCTCCAGTAACACCATCATTGTTGGATGTCCCGATGACTCATGAACTTTAACCATGATAGAAGCTAGCAGGAAGTTAAGATGAAGATGAACAATGTTGTGACAGAAGGACAAAGCTGAAACATACAGATGTGTAGATCTTTGGACGTAAACACAGGTGGAAAACTAACCAGCAGCCATGTTTGGAGAATTACTGAAGTTGGCTGAATTCTCACTTGTTTTCAGTGCAGTCCTTGTATTTGATGATTTTCAAAGGAATTGCTTTTGTTTGTGAAGCACCTGAACTGAATTATGAATCATCATAATCCAGACCGGAGCGATGCAGGACGCTCAGCTTCTTTATTTCTGTCCACTGCAAACACAACCTGTCACCGTCCTCCTTCTAGGACAGGTTTATTCTGCAGAGAGCCGATCGTTTCCTGTCTATTGTCCTTCATGATGGTCCACACTGAGGAGAGAAGCACATGTGATTAAAGCTCTGATACATCTGTAGAGAAATCAGTGCAGCTCACTCACTCAACAACTCACTGTCTTACCTTTGGATGTCATCATTTTACAACATCTTCTTTTTGGTCCATTAAAGAAAAAGAAAAAGAAAAAAAAAGAAATTTTTTTAGATAACACATTGCTTACATCTGATACAATGAACACTGAGAAAGACACAAACACGCAGTCTTAACTGTTTGAGACTGTAATTAAACAAAATCTATAAAAAAAATAAAATCACTGTCAAAAATGATTATGATCTAGTAAAAAGAACAATTTCTTTGTTTCCTAATCCTCACCTGTATTTACACTCCAAAACCCCTTCATTTTGTAATGCCGTAGTAATAACACTGCAGCAATAATGACAACTACTGAGAGCATCACAGTGATAATGACAACCAGTGTCATATGATTACTTTTTTCTCCACACTGAGAGTCAGCTGCAGATGTTCCTGCTGTTATCTGCTGAAGGTTGAGTGAGTGACATCTGGAAGGACAGAGGGACACTGTTAGAGACAGTGTACAGATGTTGCATATGTGTCTCTGAAGCTTCACTTACTGTGTGTGTTGCTGACAGGAGTGAAATGTTCCATTTGAAAATGTTCCACTGCTGCAGTCAGAGCACTCAGTGTCTGTGGAGGCTGTTCCTGATGACAACATGACAACAACGACATGTGCGGATAAGTGTGGGGCTTATAGTTGTACATCTAATAAATAATGTGGCTACTAATAAACAATAATTACCATATTAAATCACTATCTTCTTCACACACTAAGAGTTTAACTCGGTCTGGGTTTTTGGTTGGCTGATAAGCTACAGTGAAGGATTGCTACAACTCCTCTTCCTCAGCCTGTGCTTTGAGGATTGTGACAGTGAGTAACTCGGGGAGTTGACTCACTTAAACTAACATAATCATCCTGTTGTAATCAGGTTTCTGTAATCATGTCTATTTTATCAATACTTATGGCTCATAACTATGACTTTACTGTGTATGAAATGTTTTAACAGTGGCCGTAGAGTTTTAAATGTTCGTAAACTCTACATCCAGATCAACAGAATCAACTTTTGGGGAATATTCTTCCTTTGTCAACTTGCTCTCCTTCCTCTTCTTCACATGCAAATTCATGCTACAGTTTACCATCTGATGCTGCTTACTTACATTCTCTGATGAGAACCTTGCAGTCTTGTCTTGCTTTGACATTCAACCTTCTGCACAAGATGTAGTCCACCTGTGTGAACCTGCCTCCACTCTTATTTCACTTCATGTTCCACCCTCTTCCTAAAGTATTTGTTCACCCCAGCCATTTTGATCATTTCCCCAAATCCACCACTATCTGTCCTCATCGCCACTGTTCCTTCACCTGCATGTATACAAGTTTCTGCTCCAATCCCCAGCCTCTACAACATCACTAAACTTACTCCAGAATACCTCTCTCTCTCTTCCCACTAACTGTACCACATGTGGGCCATACGCAGCAACAACATTCAAGGGAACATTCAGAAAGCGGACAACATCCCACCTTTGAGTTTCACCTTTAGACTCATGATCCTGTCTGAGCCTCGCTCCACCTCCACAACACTGCTGACATGCTATTACTTTAATATTACCCCTACTCCCTTCCTATCTACACCATGGTATAGTTTGATTCCACATCCAGTGACCCCGGCCTTTCGTCTGTTCCACCTGCTCTCCTGTACACACATTATTATCTACGTTCCTTCTCTCCATCATAATAGCAGCTTTCATTCTTTACCGTCATAGTCCCTAGTGTCACATTTCCTTCCTTTTCTCTCACTGCTTCCTAAGATACCTTCCGCCAGAGGCAGTCTTTGATACACTCATTCTCGATGAGTCAGAATTTTGTTTTAGCACAGATTTTTATGCCAGATGACCTTCCTGCACCCCCCACCCAACATTTGTTTTATTTATATAAAATAAACATGATCAGGAAACTTAAAGGTACACAAATCTACCATTCTGACTGATGTACTGTCCTGGTTTACAGTGTTTGTGTTCCTGTGCTCTCTCACAGCTGTGTCCTGTAGGGTGGACACAGTAGAATCCCTCCAGAGGTTCACAGAGTGCATCTGATGTTACTGTACACGGTGTCTTTATTCTGAGACCAGAACCTGCCAACATAAAAAGAACGTACTCAACATGTTTCATGTGTTTGTGATTCATGTTTTCTTGACTGAAAAACACCTTTGATCGTTATGACAATCAGGAAAGATGTGACATCATCATGTTGAATATTTGAATTAATGAACAAAGACATCCCTTAATGTCTTGATTTGATTTAAGATTAACAACAATTAACAACAAAATAACTCTGTTGAGATCTGATTCAGTGTCAGGGAATGAAGATATGAACATAAATGTACCCGAGTCACAGATTGTACAGTGATGACATCGTTCCAGTCCATTAGGTTGATCAGTGTAGGTTCCAGTCATGCAGGGCAGACAGGAAGTACTTGATTCTACAGTGCAGTGACTTTTCACTCGATTTCCTGATGAAAACAAAAGCAAGAAATCAAACTTTTTTTTTTCCACCGTGCATCCAACGTGTGTGCTTAGAAAGCACATGCACACATCATTTAGTTGGTTCTTACCTGCAAGACAATTTGGACAGCATTCATTTCCTATCTGATACTCTCCTTGATGGCACGAGAGACCGAGACCACTAAAGACTTTCATCAGAATTATCTGAAGGGAAACAAAAAGGTTTAATCTGATCATTCACTGCTTACTAGACTAACAAAGAGCTTAAGAGTGCATACCAGAAATGCTGCAGCATTCGCAGGTTTCCTTCTTGAAGACATCTGATCTGACAGGCTGAAAGTTTCCTTGATCCAAAATATGAAGAAACGTCCCTGAGATTTCAGATGATGGAGTTCTAACCAGAAGAACAGCTGGACAACATCTGGAATCACAAAAAAAACAACAGGTTAGAGATTACCCAGAAACAGGCCCTAAAGCGTTCTAGACGATGATGAACCAACGTAGTCAGATCATAATGAAGCTGATACTGTTTACACAAGACTTCACACAGTTGAGAGTGAAAGGGCATCAGGGCAGGCAGAGGAAAGATTTTAGCAGCCACATCTGTGCCTCCATGGTCACAGTATGAGCTGTGACCATGGAGTCTAATGCTCAACTAAACCATCAGCAGGCGACCGTGGCTCAGGGGGTTGAGAAGCCCATCTGTAACCGTAAGGTCGCCGGTTTGATCCCCGGGCTCTCTGTCCTGGTCGTTGTGTCCTTAGGCAAGACACTTTACCCTACCGCTTACTGGTGTTGTCCAGAGGGGCCGATGGCGTGATATGGCAGCCTCGCTTCTGTCAGTCTGCCCCAGGGCAGCTGTGGCTACAACTGTAGCTGCTTCCACCAGTGTGTGAATGTGAGAGTGAATGAATAGTGTCATTGTAAAGCGCTTTGGGTGCCTTGAAAAGCGCTATATAAATCCAATCCATTATTAGCCACAATTATTGTTTTAATGCATTTAAAAGCTAACAGACAGCACAGTTTTTGTTTTTTAATGATTAACTTGTTTATTAGGATTTTAGTTTGGTTTTGTCTGACCAACATCTCAGTCCATTCTCCGTACTAGTTGTTGGTGGTGATGGACCATCTGGTAGTTTTCCACCAATCACCAATAAAGGAGAGAGCATCCAAAAGTAAAATTAACATTTTTAAATGTTACTGTGACAAGAAAATACTCATTTATGTTGTTCGTAGGTGAGACTGTAGTGCTGTGAATTTCAAACATCTGACATCAAGATATTGATTATATATGAAAGTTTGTTTCCTCTTTTAAATCACATCTAACAGGTTCAAGTCACATAAGTTGGTGTGACGATCCACATGAGCTGAGCTCATGAAAGATGAAGCACATTTGCTTATTTCATACAAACCATTGCCACAGCGTTGCCTTGTGTTGAGCAGGCAGCTGCCCATGTTAAACATGTGAAACACAAATTAACATGTTACACAATCACACCTGACAGAACAAACAATATGTAGGTAAACCTTCAGGTAAACTGTTGAGCTGATGGCGGTGACACTTTATGTCACACAAGTCCAGTCAGAGGCTTCTTTATGGTTTGAATTTATTGCAAACATTTGAACTTTGCATAGTTTGCATTTCATATCCAAGGTAACTTTGGACATGAAAGGTGATATGTCAAATACTGACATGTATTTGCATGAACCAGAAGTTGAAAGCTCTTTTACAGCGAGGACATTCATAAAACCACAGTCAGCACTCTAACATGGATATAATGTTTGTTCCACACATGCATGTTACTGTCCGTGATAATTGCATATGTATGTCAGTATAGTTGTGTACAGCTATCTATCAGCTCATCACAAAATAAGTTATTCAGTACATAAGTCCAGACTGTACTGCAGTCTTATCAGATGACTTCACATTGAGAGAATGTCAACTATGAATGGAGCATTAGAGTACGCAAAGGTCGCTATGAATAATAGGACAGCGTTTTCTCCAGCATCTCCTCCAATCACCTCTCCATCCTTAATCCCGATCACGTTTCAATCCAGGTCAAGGAAAGGACGCTAGGAAAAGGAGGTAGGACAAACACTTGAACGCTCCCATTTTGTGGTTTAAATAAGTTCTCTGATGACTCTGCAATAGTCAGCCTCATCACTGATGGGGACGACAAGGAGTACAGAGGACTGACCCAAAACTTTGTAGATTGGTGCCAGCAGAACTACCTCCAGATCAACACCAGTAAAACCAAGGAGCTGGTGGTAGGCTTCCGCAGGCACAAACATCCTCAACTGCTACCACTGAACATCCAAGTGATGGACATTGAGGCTGTGGACAGCTACAGGTACCTTGGTGTTCATCTGAAAAACAAACTCGACTGGACTCATAATTCAGACGCCCTCTACAGGAAAGGGCAGAGCAGGCTGTAACTACTGTGGAGACTCAGGTTGTTTGGAGTGGAGGGCCCACTCCTGAAGACCTTCTATGACTCTGTGGTGGCCTCAGCTATCTTTTACGGTGAGGTCTGCTGGGGTGGCAGCATCTCTGCTGGGAACAGGAAGAGACTGAACAGGCTGATCAGAAGGGATGTTCTAGGATGCCCCCTGGACCCAGTGGAGGTGGTGAGTGACAGGAGAATGGTGGTTAAGCTATCATCCCTGATGGACAACATCTCCCACCCCATGCAGGAGACTCTGAAAGCACTGAGCAGCTCCTTCAGTGGCAGGCTGCAGCACCCATGGTGTGGGACGGAAAGATTTCGCAGGTATATGACCAAAATCTCATATCCCGATATAAGAATTTATAACGATATAAATCACAAAAATGTAACATTTTCTGTAAATTCTGTGAATCTTGGGCAGCTCGTCTTGCGGGAAGTGTTTCCAGCTGCGCGTCACGTAGCTGGAGTCGAGTGTTTTAACCAATGCATGAAACTATACATTTTTAGACATAAGTTGTAACAGCCGCCGTATTCTTTGTATTTATTACACGGCGTGCTGCGGGGAAAAGCCTGTTCTAACATTTGAGTCTAAGGATTATTTTTTAGCACCTGGCAGCTCTTTTTTTTTTATTCTCATCCGTAAATAATCTGCTCTTTCACGTGATTCAGTTTATTTTGAAAACTCTCAACAGGATCTTGAGCTTTATTGTGAAAGGTTTATGTGGAACATAAACAAGCGGACACGCGATGCTGTTACCGTTGTTGTTGCTAACCACAACGCATAAAAACAGGCGCTTGTCCGTCCATAGTGTGGTTATATAAAATATAAGAGAAAGAGAGAACTTTAAGAAATTAATATAGTCACTACAGTGACCATCAAAACGATGAAAACATATTGCCGTAAACAATTTATTTTGCGACACCACCAAACAAACGATAGCGTAAAATGAAACGATAGACTTTTTATATCGTCATCCGATATATATCGTTATATCGAACAGCCCTATTTCCTCCCCACTGCTGTCAGACTGTACAACAAAGACTCCAACTGATCAAACACACATATCCATATATGTGCAATAACACTAAGTGCAATACTCTTTTCTGGCATCGTTGTATTTTTACTCAGTCGTATATAGAATTTGTATTCTATTTTTATCCTATTGTATATTTTATTCTACTATATATAGTATTTCATTTTATTCTATTCTGTACAGTTGTGTACTGTATTTATTCTTATTGTATTCTAATTTTTGCTAAATAACTTTTGCACTGTCCACTTCCTGCTGTGACAAAACAAATTTCCCACGTGTGGGACTAATAAAGGTTATCTTATCTTATCTTAACAAAAAACAAGGACACGTAGCTACTTCCGCATGTCTACGTTCAGCTTCTGCTCAAACTGCACGATTGACTCGCAGAGGTTACAAGTTCGTAGGTCACGATGCAGGGCCTCACACTATACGGCTCGATGCTCTGATGCGACCTGAGTGCTCACACTGTGCGTCCATAAAATGAAGGTTATAGCAGAAATTCTGTTGCTTGCTCTGTCTTTCACACACACAGACACACACCGCCACCATCAACTTTGCTAAATTGCTAATGAAAAACATTGATCAGGCAGCTGTGATTGAGCAGCAATGTCTATCCAACTATTTTCACGGTTGTGATAATTTTGTGAGGCCACATCGAAAAAGCTCAGATGAGCTTTCCGAAGTTCTACAAGTACCTCCATCGCTTGTGTCCAGATCACACGCTGCACTGACGTGCTGCGCAGTCGTTTTCGCTGACATTTGTTTGCGCGTGCGCAGTGTAAGAAACTGCGGTGACACCCTCACGACGGTCGCGAGGATTTCAAACAGTTTTGAAATCCTGTTTGAAATCAAAAAGGTTTGAAATCCTCACGACCAAGCGATTGATGATCGGGAGCTGGTCGTGAGGTGTTAATCGCTTCTCGTTACCCCACATATACTACACGATGCACGACGAAGGCCAAAATCGGGCCGATCGCCAAAACGGTCGTACGACTCAAAAATCGGCTCAAAATGGGCCAAAAATCGCACAGTGTAAGCCCAGCAGGAAGTCCAGCATTAGCGATGTCGTGCTGTCTGAAGGTGCACTATTCCGGTAGGACAGAGGGGGTAGTTTTACTCACCGAGATGCGCTCCCCGTGCCTTCACCCCACAGACTTCCCATTGTACCGGAAGCAATTGCTGAATGTTGATTGGTTGATTTGTGGGGCTGCCCGGGAGTTAAACTGAAACGGTGAATAGGGACTGCTCATTGTTGAACACTCTTTTTTGGGGATGTGAACGCTGTGCCGAGCTCCCACCTTGTTCCAGAGCACTTTTATATACGAGGTTTCTGTTAATTGACATAAAACGCCCTTTGGTGGGTGTAGCCATTGTAAATAAAATCTATCCAGATAGTGCAAAACAAGCATCAGTAACCAGCTGAACTATCACTTAATAACACTGGAATAGTATGAGTGAGCATGGAGGAGGTCCTGATCAGCAAGGAAACTGTGAACAGTTTTAAAATATAGTTATAAGTAAAGCTTGACGTCCCTCCCCTTCTTCATATTCCAGACATCACCAGGAGTCTTTGACAGGCCTCTGCTCTACTGTACAGAGTATAGACAGTAAACACATTCATGTTTAATGGTACATCGTTTTGATCACGACAAGATGAAAAACAGACTAACCCATCCACTCTGCTCTGTCCACCAGAGTTACTCTGTGGAGTAACACGTGGACAGGTTGGCAGTCTGTTACAGGGTTAACTCACACAGACAGACAAGCATTCACACTCACAGCATTATAAACATAAACTCTTCATTGAATTTCTTCAAGCTTGTGCTTCATTCAGTTCTGTGCTGCAGACTGTGGATTGAACACCTTCACTGTGACTGCAGGACAATCCAGACTGGAGGATGCAGGAAACACAGCTGGATGCATTCCTGTCCACTGTGTCTGCTCCACACTGAGGAGAGAAACACTTTCACAAACTGTGACTGTTCAATAAACCCAAGTATGTAAATGAATCCTTTCTGTCCTGACATGCAAGATTGGACCTTTGTCAGCTCAGATACACCCAAAGCACACGCAGGATGGAAGTGAAGTCAAAGCTCACACTAACCTAACACATAACCAGTTTGTTCATGCAACAAAAGCAAAAACGGCGCATTCGTCAGAAAGAAAAAAAGAAATCAGTTATTCATAAATCACATCCAGGCTGCTTTTGTTGTTCTACATACATTAATATGTTGCCATATCAACAATAAATAGGAAATAATAGGAACAATATAATTAGAGAACTTGTATTGGAGCGGTTGCCCATCATTTCATCATATAAAGACAATAATGCTAATGAAACCTGAACACTCACAGGTGAATGTGTTAGCTGTGCTGGCACTGACATGACTCTTACTGATAAATCTGTTTGTATTTGTTTTGACAGAAGAACAACATTTCTGAAAATATGAAATAATGATGCGAGACATGTAAAACATTTGTAAGTGGGACACTGAGGCCTCTGGAAACAATCAGATCGAGGCTGTGACCTGTTGTTTGGCTGGGTTCTGTCACATGCTGGTTAAAATTAAAACATTTTAATAAAGTGGTGAATTGTCCGCTGTCAGAGCTGCTACTGTCAGTGTGAATGTTAAAATCACCTAAATGCAGTCAAATGTTGTCATTTTGGAGAAAAGTTCAGCAATTTTTTCCAGGAAGTCACGTCTCAATCTGGGAGGAGGCAAGCAGTATATATGTATACTGTATACGTATATAGTGATCAGTAATACAGGAGGAGATACACAATTATTTATTAAACCTAAACATTTACAAGTCACAAAGTTGTTAAGTAAATGGTAAATGGCCTGTATTTGTATAGTGCTTTTACTAGTCCCGCCTAGGGACCCCAAAGCGCTTTACACACCCAGTCATCCACCCATTCACACACACACATTCACACACTGGTGGAGGCAAGCTACAGTTGTAGCCACAGCTGCCCTGGGACAGACTGACAGAAGTAAAGTAGTAAAGTTTTAAAATTGCAACAGTTTTTATATTTCTCAGAAATCACAGCACTGCTGCTGGTTAAGGGGAAAGGTTCAGACCTGATCAAGTCTTTGTAATCAAGTCGGGTTTTAATAAGAAGCATAAAAAACATTTTGTTATTATTGAGTGTTTTTAGGTAAAGGTGTCACTGTAAGAAGTGCAGGATCTGAACTGCAGGGAATGATGAAGCTATCAGCAGATCCAGTTTTGTGTTTTTCTTCCATGTATCATGCAAAGTTTCAGCTCCACTTGTTTCTTCTCTGGTTGGAGTTTCAGCACTTCCAGGAGGATGGAGGTCTTTCTCTCTGAGAGCTTTATGAACCAGACTGCAGGAACTGATTGTAAAACTGACTGTAATGATGGAAGGACACTCAAGCCTGTTTTAGTTTCACAGTCCTTCACATCAGAGTACAGATCCAGCAGGAAGTCACTGATATTTCCTATAATAATCTCCCATGTATATCTCATGAACAGGGAATGTTTGATATGTGCACACTGATGATAACAGCTCCAGTATCGTCTCTCCTGTCTGCTGCTCTCTCTCTCTGCTGCTGCACAGAATAGACTAACAAAGAACCTGACTGCTTCATGAAGATCTGACCCCAGAGGAACAACACTGGAACAATAAGAAGGAAACATTTAGTAATAATTTGATGTGAGCTGCATAAAAACAAGCACACAATACTGATGGACCCCATCTTGTCCATGTGTGTCCCGTATATAATGAAAGTCCATTTTAAAGCCATCTTCCATCAGAGCAGCTGAACACTGTTTTTAGACTGTTACTGACTCACAACACAAACACTCATCCTGTGTGTGAAATCACTGCGTACTGAACTGTAACTGTCATTTTATTTGCTGTCTGACTTTAGAGAGTAAAACACTAAATATCAACAATATAGAAACACAGAGTGGAACAACATCTAAACTTCATATCTTGTACAACAGCAGCTTCACCTCCTGCTCACATCACACACGTGGAAATCACATATTTATTTACCTTTCAGTCAGTTTGGTTTCAGGATGACATGGAGGATTCTGCTGAAGATTCCACAGTCTGCAGGATTCTTTAGACTCTGAGGATTTGAACAGTTGGTCCCGGTCTAAGAGGATGTAAGCTGGTATAACCCAGCAGGAGAGTCAAAGGAGCTTGCAAAGAAAAGCGTCTGGACTTCTTTAAGTTACTTGAAGACGTTTCACCTCTCATCCGAGAAGCTTCTTCAGTTCTAAGGTCAAATGGTGGAGAGTCCCAGATATAAACCTAGTGGGAGTATCCCCCCACAGAGGGACAAAAGGACCCCCTGATGATCCTCTAATCCCCTGAGCCAAGGTGTGAAACTGGGTGTGGGTCCCAATCAGCCAGAGTTTCGGGTGAGTTCATTGTGAAACCTGGCCCCACCTTATCATGCGAATTCCTGAGATCAGATGGCCCAGGATGTGAGTGGGCATTAAGGCGTCTGGGAATGCCTTAACGCCCACTCACATCCATTACTTGAAACGTCTTCAAGTAACTTAAAGAAGTCCAGACGCTTTTCTTTGCAAGCTCCTTTGACTACGATGACCTGGATGACTGAGAACCTTCACAGACACCAGCAGGAGAGTATTTCTCTGGTTAGGATGTGAGCTTTGGTTTCTGCTGACACTTTATAAAGAGAGAACAGTCCTCTCCAGTCTGTACAGCAGTCTGCTAAGACTGTTAAATACAGGTTTCCACCGACACTGTAGATAAAGGGTCCCATGAGGTTTTCTCCCAAGACTTCTGCAGGCTTGCTGGACAAAGTTTGTTGGAGCTTTCCAGGTAATCTCTACAGTTTGTACAACTGTGTTGTACACATTCAGACTCATCTCAGACCAGTACACGACTTCTTGTAATTATTTATCTGTTTCATATCTTTTAAGATGGCCCCATAAAAGATCATCATAGTATTGGTGGACTGGTGGTGGAGGGAGGATGTGATGCAAGTCTGCTACAGTGTTTTATGAGGTAGCCTGATCACTTTTTTCTCCACAACACATGAAGCAGCACAGAAAGAAGTAGTTGGCTCACAGAGGGATTCCTTCATTATGGTCTGCATTTGCTCTTTTATCACCTGCACATTTGTGGGAGACACATGAAAAGGCTTCTGTTTAATAAACACACTCTGGTACATCTGTAGAGACATCAGTGCAGCTCAGTCAGTGAACAGCTCACTGTCCTACCTTCTGATGATGCCATCCCTAAACGCTCCCCATCTGTGCCGTTTTTAATGAAATTTAAAAACAAAAAAAACCCTTATTATATAAATCAATGTGATGCAGTGAACATGGAGAAAGAGACACAAACATACCTTGTTTTTTGATTGGTGGTCTGTAACCAAAGCAGTGAAAATTATATCAGTGTCAGAAAACATGATGATGCAGTAAATTAAACATTTCCATTGTTCTGTCATCCTCACCTGTTAGACGGAGCCCTCTTTTTTAAGTGCCATAATAATAATAATCCCCCTCCTCCAGTAATTACAATTAAAACACCCACAGCTCCACCAACAGCTGCTCCCACATTAAAACTGCGTTCTCCACACTGAGCATCAGCTGCAGATGTTCCTGCTGTTTTCTGTTGAAGATTGAGTAGGTGACATCTGGAAGGACAGAGAGACACTGTTAGGGGACATGTACAGATGTTGCACATGTGCCTCTGAAGCTTCACTTACTGTGTGTGTGGCTGACAGGAGTGAAATGTTCCATTTGAAAATGTTCCACTGCTGCAGTCAGAGCACTCAGTGTCTGTGGAGGCGGTTCCTGATGAAAACAACAACTACATGTGTGGATCAGTGTGGAATTCTGTCCTCAAACACATCAAGAAGCTTTGCTGTGCAAACTAACAGTAACACAAAGACTCAATCAAGAACATCTGGACTTGCTGGTATTTTCATGTTTATCTGAACTTCACTCTCTGTGATATCTCTCACACTGAGTCCAAACATCTCTCTGTTGTACCCCGGGTCCTCGTCCAACAGTGCACTAAATTTAAAAATATGGTACAGTTTGACATCTTCATGTCATAAATTCATATAAAATATCTTCATCTAATCTGCAAAGATTTTTTTAATTTTATTTTTTAAGAATCTACAAATTATAGGGAACCATACAGAAGTAAAACTTGAAAAGTTGAACTTAAACTCTATATCTCCCCATTGCCACACAGTGACATGAATCAGTGACTCTGGTAAGAGCAGGGGAGGAAGACTGTCATTAACAACCACAGCAGCAAACACAATGGACTAGAGCTACTCGAACATCAAGCTAGGTTATACGGCTAGACCGCCTGGGCCTGTCTGACCACACATCCCTGTTTACACCGTCTGAGAACAGCTCTCATCTCCAGCAGAACCATTAAAAGCTGGTCTGATGGAGCCTCTCAACAGCTGGATGACTGCTTCAACAGAACTAACTGGGATACTGTCAGACATGGGAACTTTCACTGACGCTGTCTTATGTTAAATAAAGAAATCAGAAGCCTTTGAGGTGCAGGGAGATCCTGCACCTCCTGAAAGAAAGGACACCATCTTCAGGTCTGATAATACAGGTCTCCTCAGCATGGTCCAAGTCAACCTGAAGAAAGGTCTCATCTAAGGTGGGCTACAGGAGAAGGATCGAGGGTCATCTGGACCGTAACAACAGTTAAGTTATAAATAAATGGGAGAAAATCTGCAGGACCCAATGGTGGTCCTGGACCTGTGCTGAAGGACTGCACAGACCAGCTGGGATTTTCAACCAGTCTCTATATCCTCTGTCTGAGAAACCAGTCTGTACCAGACTCAGTCACTACTGCCCAATAGCACTTACCCCAATGGTGATGTTTTTATATGGTGACTGTTTGCATTGTTGACTTTAAACTTAATTTTGCTGTACAAATCCCATGTTACAATGATAATAACAATATTCTATAAAAATGTTCAGCAAATATTAAATTAGATCAGTTTCCCTGAACTCTGGTATTCTCATTTAAAAACACAAACCTACCTTTCTGACTAATGTACTGTCCTGGTTTACAGCGTTTGTGTTCATGTGCTCTCTCACAGCTGTGTCCTGTATGGTGGACACAGTATAATCCCTCCAGTGGTTTACAGAGTGTATCTGATGTTGCTGTGCACTGCTTCTTTACCCTCAGACCAAGAGCTGCCAACATAAAAAGAACATACTCAACATGTTTCGTGTATTTGTGAAGAGACGCTGAAGCTCACGATTTTTTTTTTTGCTGAAAATACATTTGGTCATTATGACGTCTTTAGGAAATATAAAACATCATCATCTTGAATTAATTAAATCATGGAGAAAGACCTCCCTTTATGTTTTAATTTGATTTTAAACTACTATAACATAAAACATAGTAAAGCCCAGAGAAATTAATCCACCTGAGTGACAGTTTGTACAGGGAATACATCGCTCCAGCCCATTAGGTTGATCAGTGAAGGTTCCATCCATGCAGGGCAGACATGACGTACTTCTATACTCATTGCAGTGAGTTTTCACTCGACTCCCTGATGAAAACAAAAGCAACAAATTCATTTCAAGCTTGCCTTTTTGTATTCTGTCTAAGTTGTGTGAAAACACATGCATTCATCATTCAGATGGTTTTACCTGCAAGACACTTTGGACAGCATTCATTTCCTATCTGATACTCTGCTTGATGACATGTGAGGCTGAGACCACTGGAGACTTTCATCAGAATTATCAGAATTACCTGAAGAGAGAAAAAAGGGGCCATGCCATGAAATTTTAGTTGTCGTCGTCCCCGTTTGGTTAAAAAAAACAAAAACAAAAAAAAAAAAACACATCCCATCTCGCCCCTGCAGGCAGGCTATCCTTCAAGCTTGAGTTGTCTACCAGAGGCCTGGGAGCTTGAGGATCCTAGCTGTGTCGTAGCTGTTCCTACATACACACAAAAGTGAGTACACCCCTCACATTTTTGTAAATATTTTGTTATCTTTTCATGGGACAACAATGAAGATATGACACTTTGATACGATGTGAAGCAGTTGGTGTACAGCTTGTATAACAATGTAAATTTGCTGTCCCCTTAAAATAACTCATACAGCCGTTTATGTCTAAACCGCTGGAAACAAATGTGAGTACACCCCTAAGTGAAAATGTCCAAACTGTCCCCAAAGTGTCAATATTCTTTGTGACCATCTTTTTCCAACACTGCCTTAAGTCTATTGGGCATGGAGTTCACAGGGTACTACTGGAACCACTCTTCCACTCCTCCATAATGACATCATAGAGCTGGTGGATGTTAGAGACCTTGCACTTCTACATCTTCCATTTGAGGATGCCCCACAGACGCTCAATAGGGTTTAAGTCTGGAGACATGCTCGGCCAGTCAAGTACCTTTATCCTCAGCAAGGCGCTGGTCTTTTTGGAGGTGTGTTTGGGGTTGATATCATGTTGGAATACTGTTCGGTAGCCCAGTTTCTGAAGGGAGGGGATCATGCTCTGCTTCAGTATGGCACAGTACATGTTGCCATCCCCCGCCCCAGTGCCAGCAGCACTCATGCAGCCCCAAACAATGACATCCCACCAACATGCTTAACTGTAGGCAAGAAACACTTACCTTTGTACTCTTCACCTAGTTGCAACCACAACCCCCCACACCATCTGAACTAAATAAGTTAGTCTTGGTCTCATCAGACCACAGGTAATCTGCCTGTCCTCAGCAACCTTTTTGCTGGCTTTCTTGTGCATTATCTTTAGAAGAGGCTTTCTTCTAAGACGACAACCATGCAGTGTGCTGCGTATGGTCTGAGCACTGACAGGCTCAACCTCCGCCTTCAGCCACTGCAGCAATGCTGGCAGCATTTATACATCTATTTTAAAAAGACAACCTTTGGATATGACGCTGAGCACATGCACTCAATTTCTTTGGTTGACCATGGCGAGGTTTGTTCTGAGTGGAACCTGTCCTGTTAAACTGTTGTGTGGTTTTGACCACCGTGCTGCAGCTCAGTTTCAGGGTGTTGGCATTATTCTTATAGCCCAGGCCATCTTTATGTAGAGTAACAATTCTTTTTTCAGGTCCACAGATTCTTTCCCATGATGTGCCATGTTAAACTTTCAGTGATTAATATGAGAGTGTAAGAGCAACAGTGTTGGGGAGTAACGGAATACATGTACCTCCATTACGTATTTAAAATACAAAATATGAGTAACTGTATTCCGTTACAGTTACAGTTTAAAAAGGTGGTATTTAGAATACAGTTACTTTGGTGACATAAATGGATTACACGGCGGTACTTTCCTGCTTCATATTGTAGCGGGTCAGGACTGTTTGGGTTTTGTTTGACAGCTACGTTCTGTTGTTCCAGGCGGCAGCGTTACAGTTGCCATGGTTACAGGGCGACGCTCTCTCTCTCTCTCTCTCTCTCTGTGACTGTGTGTTTCCTGGGTGAGAGAGCGCCTTTTTGTTGTTGTTGTTGTGCTAAGCTAATAGGCAGAATGCTACAAGCATAGCCCTAATGAATGTAGCCTCATAGGCAGTGTAGTCCGTGCTGCAGGGAGAATGGACTGCCATGCCCGTTAGGTGTCTGTGAGCAAGAGGAGGGGAAAAAAGGAAAGTGGAAATGTACGAGCTGTCACCGAGCAAAAACGGGAGCTGGAAGCATGTAAATATAAAAATAACCACTGCAGCCAAGAAGAGTGCCTGACGAGCCCAGTTGTAAGTAAGCTATTAAGACTCGACTGTACACCGTGTTCGTGTTTTCCTCTGAAAACAATAAGTTCTGTTGGAGCAGCCTTTCAACGCCTCTCTCTGTCTCTCGCTAGCAAAGTTGACCCAGACAACAAAGTAAAGCTAGTTTTCGGCTACGAGCCCGACATGAACCCGACGTATTAGTCAGAGGTCCCTTTACTACGGTTCGGAGCCGTGGACCTTGAGTAATAGTAATAAATCACACAGCAATAGTGCATTCACGTAGTTGTAAAAAGCATGATAATATATTAAGTAATCCAAAGTATTCAGAATACGTTACTGTCATTGAGTAACGTAACGGAATACGTTACAGAATACATTTTGGGGCATGTATTCTGTAATCTGTAACGGAATACATTTTAAAAGAAACCTTCCCAACACTGAAGAGCAATAACACCAAATTCAAACACATCTGTTCCCCATTTCCACCTGAGACCTTGTAAAATTAACGAGTCACATGACACCAGGGAGGGAAAATGGCTAATTGGGCTCAGTTTAGACATTTTCACTTTTACTCCCTTTTGTTGATAGCGGTTTAGGCAATAATGGCCGTATGTTGAGTTATTTTGAGGTAACAGCAAATCTACACTGTCAGACAAGCTGTAGACTGACTACCTTACATTGTATCAAAAGGGTCAAATTGTTGTCCCATTAAAAGATATAATAAAATATTTACAAAAATGTTAGGGGTGTACTATACATTTCTTTTCCTTCAAGATATTTTTTTTTGTTGACTCCGGCATTGTTTCACAAATTCAAATCTGAGGCCATGATTGAACATTAATATTTAAAAAACGAGTAAAGTTAAAATCCCAAAATGCTTAATGATCATTCTTAACCGGCTCGCTACCTCCCGCTTTTGGCCTAGGCTGTCACTTGAGCCCATTTCCCTTTAGTAAAAAAGGAGCTCCTCGGCCGGTGTTCCAAGCAATCTGAACAGATACTAAAATGTGATGTTGTGAGACTGCATGCCACTGATTAGCTGGTCAGTGGCGTCACTCAACGAGTCAAAAGAGCATCTCAAGAAAATTAAAACTGCCAATTTCTGAAATTGAGAAATGGCTACAAAAACAACACCCTGTTCCCCATGTCTGATGAAAGCCACAGACCAAGCAGCAGATCTATTCTTGCCTCAACGTCCACCTTTGTTGTAGCATTTGTGTAACATACTAATTACATCACGGGGCACTCAGCTGCATTGCTATGACGATCATGCAAATAAGGAGGTACTGGATTTTAAAACAAAACTAGACAATCTTATTCAAGTTGTGGCGTGTCGATCTGAGTAGATGGAACGCTAGTTTGAGGGTGGAGTCAAGGAGGCCATTTCTTCATCTTACAATGCTGTGATTGAAGCCATTCCCCAACTCTCTGTGAATGGTACTTATGACCATTGATCAATGTTCTGGTAGAAAATGTTCTAAAAAAAATTTGCTTCTTAAAGCTGAAATTAACTTTAGGTTTCTGCATGTGGTGACATGTTACTGTACACTTTTGACTAACAAAGAGCATCAGGAGAAGAAGACATGAAGTCAAAACATGAACGGGAACCAGCAGATGGCGCTCAAGCCTTCAGGAGAGCTGCTGAGCCAGGTGAGCTGTAACTTCATGTAAATATTTTACCAGAAATGTTGCAGGATTCACAGGTTTCCAGAAACATGTCCCTGAGATTTGAGACAATGGAGTGGAGTGAACAGCTGGACTACACCTGGAAACACAAAGATTTTTTTTTTTTGCAGTCTTTCGTCATCCATCCTCACATGCAGACACAATAATATCAACACAACAGACAAAATATATACTTAATAGAAAATAATGAAAGCAAAATGATAATAGTGTTAATTTGGAGCATCATGTAACTCAAAAGTGACAAAGCTATGACTTGTTCATCTGAGTGAATAAATCTGTTTTGAATCCTTGATGTTCTGTACTCTCGAACCAGAAGCCAAGGAGAACGAACTGAAAGTCAGTGTGCACAGGGATCCTGGTTCAGCATGGATTTACTTCTCCTGCATCCCTCTGATCGATGTTAAAGAGATCAATGTGAAATGTAAAACTTCCACGACGCTTTGAAAATCTTAGTGACAAAGTAAAGAGTCATGGTGAAGTTGATCAAATTATCTCATGGAACTGTTTGTTTGGATGAGTGGATGCATTTAACAGGAGAAGTCGGACGCATCAAGCTAACGTTTCATTCATCAGGATTTCCATCTCAAGTTTAACAGCTTGCTCTGCATTGGTTGCTCCAAAGTCCAAAAGTGTCTTTGGAGTATTTCACCTACATGGGAGGCCAAAGCATGTCAATCTGAGAGATTCTGAATCTGAAGTCCAGATTTTAATTAGGTCGCACCAAAACCTTCATTTTATTTTTTTTTATGTCATTCAGAGGTGAATTGCTGCTGTGTTTTGTATCATTGTGCTGCTGCCTGAGTGCTCTTGAGCTTCAGCATATAATCTGATGTGTGGACATTCTCCATCAGGATTTTCTGGTAATGAACAGAATTTATGGTTTCATCAGTTATAACAGAGCAGCCCAGACCATCCACACTACCAGCACTGTGTCTGGCTGCTGCTGCAATGTTTGCTTTATGCCAAATGTAACGGGACTCAACTTTCCAGAAAGTTCCGCTTTTGTCTCGTCAGTCCATAGAATATTTCTGAGAAGCCCCAGGAAAATCTATGTTTCTTGGCAGATGTGACACTAACCTTTCCTCCTTGAACTCTCCATTTTGTCTCTTTCTTATTGTTGAATCATGACTTTTGACCTTAACCCTATTGTAGGGTCTATCTTACTATATAAAGCCCCTTGAGGCAACTGTTGTTCTGACCTACTGCTGTATAAATAAAATGGAATTGAATTAAATTAACTGAGCCAAGTGATGTCTACAGGTCTACAGATGTAGTTCTGGAGTCTTCTTTGACCTCCTGGATGAGTCGTTGATGGTTCCTTGGAATAGTTTTGATAGGCTGGTCTCTCAAGGAAGGATCAGCACTGTTCCATGTTTTCTCCATGTGTGAATGTGGCAGGGCGTGGTTGCACTGCAGCTGCAGGGGAGGCAGATGCATCTGAGTGGCATCCGCAAACACGCCTCGCTAGCTTAAAGGCTGAACTAGGTTGTTGTTGTTAGTGTGTGTGACTCTGTGCTGGAAAGTTGCAGCCGATTGTTTGAACAAAAATCGTTAATAAAAGTGTTTGAAAATGCTGAAAATCACTGAATTGTGGGCGGTTCTGTCATTCTTCTGTCACAGTGGATAATGACCCTTACCATGATCTAAGGCAGTGGTTCTGTGGAGAGTTTCCCTATATTTAAAATTTAGATTAATCCTCTACACTAAATGTTTTTACCATCAGCGTGACAGCACCATGCAGCCTTAGCAGTTTTAAGGCCCACGGAAATGGGCACTCCAGCTGGTTGAGAGCGAAGAGCCTTGGGAACTCCTGTGTCATCTTTTCATACCTCTACAATGGTATGTTATTTAATCTTAAAAAAATGGAGATTTCCCACATACCACCAGAGAGAACCCAAGTACCACTAGTGGTATGCATACCACAGTTTGAGAAAGACTGGTCTAAAAGTGGTCAGGTTTAAGGACTGGACTTAAAATAAGTGAAAAAGCAGCCAATGCACAAAAAAAAAAAAACTGAAAGATTTTCAGTGATTCAGTGCAGAATTATTTTTTAAAAACACAAATACAGAAGGCCTGTAGGCTTGGAAACAAAATATAAAGAAATGATCTGTGGCTTAAGACTTTTGCACAGTAATGTATTTTCTTCAATAAGAGCAAAAAGGCTCTGCAGTCAGCTCATTAATAGGAAACTGGAGAGAACCAATCAAAGTCAGCTACAGTCCAAACAACAGCTGAGCTTTACATATGAACACGTACGTGTGTGAGAAATAATTTTTTCACAAACACCGAGTCAGGAACAACATTTAGACACGCATTACCTCTCCGTGGTAGCAGCACCTGGTCCTCTGCAAAAATCATCAAGTCTTTGGAATGAGCGGGTGCGCTTTAAGGATCCCATTTTCAGTTACAGGAAACACCCTATAAAAAAGAAAAAAAAGAAAAACACTTTGATTCATGTTTTTGTAAAAAAGGTTCTATCGGTTCTATCCACGCAGGGCAGACAGGATGTGCTTCTGTACTCGCTGCAGTGACTTTTTACTCGACTTCCTGATGAAATTAAATAAAACAAGTTCATGAAAAGCGTTCAACTTCTCATTGAGCATTAAAGTTGTGTGCACTCGTTAGCAGGGATCAGAACTGATAAGGATTTAGCTATGTTGATTCAATTATTGATTCTCATTGGTGCTGCTTTGAGAGTCACCATCATTGCTAAGCAGCATATCAAAGACATTATTGCATCCTGCGTGGTCAAATGTTTGTGCATGCTGGAGTTATTTCTCCACTTTGTTGTAATCAGTATTGGGGTTTTTACTCAAAAAAGTCATCCAATACACATTACTTGTTACTTTTCTTAAAAGCAATGCAGTACGCTACTTAACAATATAAACCTATAGGCTACAGTCCCACATACCCACAAACATCTCTGTCTTAATGATAACACACATACTATAATTCCTATAGTATGTAGTATGAACACAAAGCTGACAGATTATAGTGATTCTACTGTAGAAACATGAACCAGTAGAAATGAAGGCTGCAGCCTGTCTGATCATCAGAATGTTACATGTTTAAGTTCAGCCATATTTACGCTGCAGACTGTGCCACTATTTCCTCAGCCAGAGGCCTCAAGCGGTGCGTGTGGGCAACAAGGTCTCAAACAGCATCACCCTGAGCACGGGGGCTCCACAAGGCTGTGTGCTCAGTCCTCTGCTCTTCACCCTGTTGACACATGACTGCACACCAACCTACAGCTCCAACCACCTTGTGAAGTTTGCGGACGACACAACGCTGGTGGGGCTCATCACCAAGGGCGATGAGACCCACTACAGGAAAGAGGTTGAGCTCCTGACCACGTGGTGCAGAGACAACAACCTCCTGCTAAATGTCAGTAAGACCAAGGAGATTATTGTCAACTTCCAGAGAGGCCACACCTGTCACCCCCATTGACCATCGACGGCGCTGCGGTGGAGAGGGTGAGCAGCACCAAGTTCCTGGGGGTGCACATCAGTGAGGACCTCTCTTGGACCACCAACACAGCATCACTGGCCAAGAAAGCACAACAGCGCCTCTACTTCCTGCGCAAACTCAAGCGGGCAAGTGCTCCACCACCCATCCTGACTACATTCTACAGAGGAACTATTGAAAGTATCCTCTCCAGCTGCATCACTGTGTGGGGCGGTAGCTGCACTGACTATAACAGGAAAGCTCTACAACGCATTGTTAGAACAGCTGAGAGGATAGTTGGTGTACCACTCCCCTCCCTGCAAGACATTTACACCACTCGCCTCACCCGCAAAGCCATCACAATTGTCAACGATGCAACCCACCCCGCGCACTGTCTGTTCAGCCTCCTGCCCTCTGGAAAGAGATACAGAAGTCTCCGCTCCCGCACTACCAGGCTCACCAACAGCTTCATCCACCAGGCTGTGAGACTGCTGAACTCTCTTCCCTCCCGGCTCCCAGCCAGCAGAATCACCAGATTGGCAGAAGTATAGTAGACAGATTGGACTCTACCCCCCACACTCTCCAACAAGGAAACACTCTCTGAACCAAGAACTGAAAACATTCCTGACTTGCATTGCAATTGCATACACCTGCTGCTATATATATATTTTTAGTATTCTTTTAGCACTATTTATATTATTATATTACTATTTATTATCTTATTGTTAGGGCTGTTTTTGTTTTTGTTGTGCATCTGCACCTTATTGTTGTCAATGCCTACGCATGGGACAGTGTGAAACGTAATTTCAATTCCTTTGTATGGCAAGTACATTTGAAGAAATTGACAAATAAAAGTATTCTATTCTATTCTATTCTACTAGGTGCTCACGATAAACAAATTTTAAATGAAAGCCAGGGAATTTTGGTAGCACAAAAACAAGTGGCTATTCTTTGTGACCATATGGATCGGTCCCTCATATTACCATTATTTCCCCCACAGGCACAAAGTTAATACTTAAAAAAGCAGCAACAATACACAAAAATATAAAGAGTACTTGGTGACAACTTTGCTTTTAGCCTTTAACCCTCTGGTGTCCAGGGTATAACTGGCTGTTGTTGATTACTTTTGATTTGGCCTCTATATTTCACCTTTAAAAACTGTTTATCTTGCCAATCTGTTATTTTTTCATTTTGACATACTGTATCAGCACAATTTATCTAAATCCAGACAAAAAATGTAAAATACCATAGAAAAAAAGTTTTGACTGTTAAAACCACAAACATGTTTAACGAATCATTTTCATAACTTGAAATGCAAATAGAATTTGTACATTTTTAAAAATTATTACTTTCCCTCTGCCTATACAACCATATGCCACATGTTTCCATATATATATTTTTTGATTGGTTGACATGGTACACTTTAACACCAATAGGGAAGGGAAGGAGTGCTTTTTTGCTCACAAGCAGAGAGTGTTTGGTAGCGTTCTCCTTAGAAAACGCCATTTTTACCATTTCTTCCCGGAGTAAACGCCACTGTTTTATTCAGAAAAAATCACTGCGTGTACTTTTGATCATAACTCTGGTTTTACATGGCCTATCAACACAATTTAAAAACTGGTATATAGTTTGAAGTCAGTATTTCAACTTTTGACAAAAGTTGAAATGGAGACTCTGGGTCCGTCGACCCCAGAAGGTTAATCAGCCTTAAGTCTTAAGTTGGCTAGTTATGTATTGGGCTAATGTTTAAAGCTTTCACTTGAGTAAATTAACTCATATTACCGCTAAGTAATGTTAGCTAAATTCACAGCATATTCCATAAATCTCCGTGCCATAACTAACTACTATAATAGCGCTGCCATACTGCATCACACTCAGTGCATTTCAATCATTTCTCCAGCGAGTTTGATAGCTAGCAAAATAATAATAATAATAATTAAAAAAAAAAAAATAGCACGTGTATGTACACGTACTGGAAAATGATTTACTAGGACTCACCTATCATGCAACTGGAGAGCGCAAACTCCACCCACTAAAACAGCAACCTACAGGTATGTTAGCACACTTATCCCCGACTGTCCCAGGGAGGGGCGGGGTCACACATTGAAACAGACAGAGGCGCAAGGCAGCCCAGGCAGGGAAATTTTGTTTTTACATTTTGCAACTAGTTTTTTTTCTATCTAATAAGAAAACTATTCAGTCATTTAGTTATATGTGGTGAATAAAATACAGTTACACTTTCGAGCACTTTTAAGCACCGCATCAGAAATTCAAGCACTTTTCAAGGATTTGAAGCACCCATACGAACCCTGCATATAAGGGGGAAGAGGAAATGCTATTGTGGGTTCATTCGGGGCAGTGTGCACGCTGTGTGTGGATGTGAGAGGAGGATCGCTTGTCCTTGTGATACTCCTATTGGGGAGGGTATCCAGATGTAAATGGTAAAATGGTAAAATGGCCTGTATTTGTATAGCGCTTTTCTAGTCCCTAAGGACCCCAAAGCGCTTCACACTACATTCAGTCATTCACCCATTCACACACACATTCACACACTGGCGATGGCAAGCTACATTGTAGCCACAGCTGCCCTGGGGCGCACTGACAGAGGCGAGGAGATGTCTTTTTGCAAAAGATGTGCACCAGACTGTGTGTGCAACTGTTACTTTTTTTTAAGTTTCCTTTCAAAGTTTACTAGCTTTCTCTCAGTTTTCAGAATCAGAAAAAAATCTGAACGGGTTTTATTGCCAAATGTTGAGTAGGTTTACAACATTAGGAAATCGCTGCGGTACTTAGTGCAAAACATACTGTAAGACAACACTTAAAAATCAAAATTAAAAGTGCTAAGCAGAATAATATATACATGTGCGCAGGTGATGATCAGTGCAAAAATGGAACAGATGCAGAGAACACAGTACAGGCTCATGTGTTTGTGGCGGGAACAGTCATATGGTTGTTGTTTATGAGTCCAACAGCAGAGGGGGAGAAACTGTTCTTATGGCGAGAGGTTGTGGTCCGAATGGACCGGAGCCTCCTGCCTGAGGGGAGCAGGTCAAACAGACTGTGTCAAGGGTGATAAGGGTCAGCTGTGATCCGAGCTGCAGGCCCCAGTGTCCTGGAGGTGTATAGGTCCTGCAGAGATGAGATGCAGCCAATCACCTTCTCAGCAGAGCGCACAACACGCTGCAGTCTATGTTTGCCCCTGATGGTGGCTCCAGCGTACCACACGGTGATGGAGGAGGTGAGGATGGACTCGATGATTGTAGTGTAGAATTCCATCATCGCCTTTGTTGGCAGGTTGAATTTCTTCAGCTACCTCAGGAAGTACATCCTCTGCTGGGCCTTCTTTATGACAGAAGTGATGGTGGGCTCCCACTTGAGGTCCTGGGTGATGGTGGTACCCAGGAAGCAGAATGAGTTCACAGTGGTGATGAGGGTGTCAGTCAGGAGACACCCTCCTGAGAAGGGATGCGTCTCCACGTTGGAGGTGGTTGTGAGTTCGAGTTAATTTGAAGGTTTTAAATAAACCCCATGTGATGTTGTTAACTTTAACCACGGCTGCCCATTAGGTGGGGTGGGGTGTCCAGTGGGGTGTGCAGCTTGTTCCAGACCAATATCAGTGTGTCTTGTTCCTTTACTGTGTGTCTGTTGTAACTGACTGGATGATTGGTGTTGTGACACTGTGTCCAGATGAGCCCAAGAAGGTGTGGGAAGGAAGGTGGGTGCTGCCCCGGAGGACTCAGTGGTCTCAGTGGTCCTCAAGGCCATTATCCCCCTTGTGGCAGGGTGTGGGAAATTGGGGGTGCCTACTGAGCCAGTTGTGACAACAACTGTCTACAACATACAATCCAGTTTTAAGATACTTGCCAGGTGTCTCAACCCCCACTCACATCTTGGGTTAGTTGATCTGATTGGGTCACATGATACACTGAGGCAAGGTATCACAGAGATTTCACCTGGAAACTTCACCCACACCTTTATTCACACCTTGGGTTGTGTGATAGGGCACATGATTAATAGTGGGTCGACATCCCATTTAAGGATGTTGACCCAGTAGATTTTAAATATCTGGGACTCTCCACCATTTGGTCTTAAAACTGAAGAAGTTCCTCGAATGAAACGTGTTCAAGAAACTTAAAGAATTTGCTTTTCTTTCCAAGCTCCTTAGGCTTTCTATAAAGTTATCCAAGTAAATATCTTACCAAAAATGCTGCAGCATTCACAGGTTTCCTTCTTGAAGACATCTGATCTGACAGGCTGACAGTTTCCTTGGTCCAAAAGAAGAAACATGTCCCTTAGATTTGGGATGATGGAGTTCTAACAGGAAGAACAAGGAAGGACAACATCTGGAAAAACAAAGAAATGACAGGTTAGAGATGAGCCATCAACAGGCCTTAAAGGGTTCCAGAGGACGATGAACCAATGATTTTCGATCAGGATTACTGACACATGATGAAACTGACTGTTTGCAAAAGGACACACACACATACAGAACTACTAAACCATCAATCGTTAACCACCGAACATGATTCTAATATTCCACATTTATTGCAAGAAACAGAGACCACAGTGATTCATATTAATTATTTAACCACATAGGGCCGGCTCTTTCCTGGGTCAAGAGGGGGCGTTACCCCCTTAAACAAACGTCCTGCCCCCTTAAGTCAAACTTTTAGAAGTTAAGAAAGAAAATAATAGATTACCCACAAAACTGAATATGGACAAGATTTGGTACAGTAGCTGAAAAATCCACTGGAAAGAGGCACCAATGAGATGATAAGTTTCACGTTTCGTTCGCTCTTTCCCTCTGTGCTCCATTTGTGCGCAGGGTCACACAGCACTAGGCAGAGATCCCCCACTCACCCTCCCCTTAGATCAACATCTAATCACTGTTAGTATACAAATGACCAGGTGTCAGGTTTCTCAATAGGCAAGGCAGAGCAAAATTAAGCCGCTAATCTCTGTCATCAAAATCATAGCGACTGTACCTAAGAGTGAATTATTTTAATGTTCTTCCTTGTATTTGTTAGAAACATTTTTGTAATTTCCCCTTAATTGTGGGACTTGGTGTGAGAGGAAGTAATACTCAGCATAGACTGTTTTTTTAGTGAAACAAATGGTAAATGGCCTGCATTTGTATAGCGCTTCTCTAGTCCCTAAGGACCCCAAAGCGCTTCACACTACATTCAGTCATTCACCCATTCACACACACATTCACACACTGGCGATGGCAAGCTACATTGTAGCCACAGCTGCCCTGGGGCGCACTGACAGAGGCGAGGCTGCCGGACACTGGCGCCACCGGGCCCTCTGACCACCACCAGCAAGTAAAGCACCGCCTTCAAGTTTATAAAGAACCCATGTCAAAGTATACCACTAAGTTTACCACTTAGTGATGTGTTATGCACAAAATCAGAACAGCCAACTCCCTTCAATTGAGAGCTGGCTCCCCACTTTTCTTTTTTTTTTTTAAACGAGGTTTGTTGTGTTGCCACAGTATTTAACTGTGGCAAAACAGAGAGAATGAAGAGGAGCTTCTTCCCCCAGGCTATTCGGGGCCTGAACCAGGTGTAGGACTGGACTCTCCCAAACACGTCACTATAAGACTGGACTCTCACACACGTCACCACACGCACCACCACACATTTCCTATAATCCCTATAATTTATAATCCTTATCTTTATAATCTCTTCTGCTATTTGCACATTCTTTACTGTAAATTCCTAAGTTAATTTGTAAATTTTTGTAGTAAATTGTAAATATTGTAAAACTTTTCTTCTGTCATTTAATGGTTTAATTGTACAGCTACAAGCATTTCACCCCCATGTCATACTGTGTATGGTTGTGTGTGTGTGACAAATAAAATTTGAATTTGAAACTGTCTTCCTACATATATGGCACACAGCATAATTTCTACGCTGAATGTAAACCCAATTATGATATGTGAAGAAAGGCAAGATTGCATGTTTTGTGCCTCGGGTTTCTCATCGGCTCACACACAGAGATGAATGACGTATACACTCTGGTTCTTGTAGATCAGGGGTGCCCAATCCCGGTCCTCGAGAGCTACCGTCCTGCAGCTTTTAGATGCATCCCTACTCCAACACAGCTGAATCAAATGGTTTGATTACCTCTTCAGCATGCCATCGTGTTTGGCAAAGGCCTGATAACAAGCCATTCATTTGATTCAGCTGTGTTGGAGTAGGGATGCATCTAAAAGCTGCAGGATAGTAGCTCTCGAGGACTGGGATTGGGCAGCCCTGTTGTAGATGATAAACAGATCACCCGATTTACTGGAAGTCACGTGACCAGAGAACCAATGACCGCGCATGTGCAAGGGGATTTCTTTTTAAGAAATAAGCAGTTACTTCAAAGAGTACAAGCATTAAACACGGAAAATACTGCATTCTGAGGTGTAATATTAGAATTAAGTAATTTATTATTTATTTTTAAAACCCACAGGGTGAAATAAACACGATCTCTGACGTGGCGATTTAGGTAACATACGCAAATAAATCAACAAAATAATCATCCGTAATTTGTATAAGTTATAAGTAATGTTCCACGCAGGTCTCTACGTGTGACACTTTAGACACGAACACGTTCATAACAACACCAACGACCAGAAAAAAACAACACCGACGGCAACAGCCGAGATCGAGGAAATACATCCCGTTGCTGGTTAGTGAAACTAAACCCACAAAATCAACAGTTGTCGGCTGAGCTGCTGTGTGAGTCTAAATCACTGCTGTGGATAAGTGACGCGACTCACACAGCCAGCATCCACCTCGTAACTTTATCGAGCTGTCGGAACATGACCTTAAAATAGCATTCAGGCTAAAATCGGAACACTTACCTTTGTCGCTACCCGATCCGTACCGGAAACCCGATCGGTACCCCGCATGCGCAAATCTTACGTCACTTCCTCTCTTTGCCGTTCTATCCAAGAGCATCTGGCTGCAGCCACTGTGGAGTGTCACTACCCAATCCGTAGAGAAGGGTCTGGCTGCAGCCTGTCACTACCCGATCCGTACCGGAAACCCGATCGGTACCCCGCATGCGCGAAAGGTTTCTACTTCCGGTCGTAGTGTTTTACGATAGTTACAGCCCAGAGTATCTGTTAAGATGTTAAGAATAACAAGTATATCTTAAAATGTTTGCAATAATGAAGCATTTCAGTACAATGTAGACAGAAATGAAAAAAAAAAGAAAGTTACGGATCAGGACTCCCCGATCCTTACTGCGCATGTGTAAAGTCTGACCGTACAAATCGGGTCTACCCGATCCGTACTGCGCATGTGCAGATGTTTTCTTCTTCTTCTGTTCGTTTAATGGCAGTGTACTCCCCAGTGTACGAGGATACCGCCACCTGCTGACCGAGCGAATAAACCCTATTATAAACTGAATTAGCGTCATTACAAACGTGTGTTAAATTTGATTTAGCGATAGTCGAGTGTGTTTATGCTTGTCTGTGAGGAGAGGATTGTTGGAATAGTGATGATGATGTGCGCTATCACTGTCAATTGTCAGTAAACACTTCATCTGGCTGATGAATCTACACGTGAGATATTACAAAGTCTGCATTATTAACTCTGTAATTAGGCGCCATTCTTCTTATTTTACGGCGCTGTTGCTCAATCGGGGGACGCTCTCTGTTGAGGAGAAAAGCATGAATTTCTTTGTATACGGATTATCCATTGTTTAAATGTCCAGGGCAGTCGAAAAGAAGGCAGAGCTGTTGAGAAATGCTAGGAGCTAACTGGGCGCTAACCGCATCATTCAAATATATTGAATGTCGCAAAAAGAGGAAGTGACGTAAGATTTGCGCATGCGGGGTACCGATCGGGTTTCCGGTACGGATCGGGTAGTGACATTTTTTTTTTTAATTAAACTTTATTTACAAACAACAGTTTAACATACAAGGCACCATCATTAATCCGATTATGTTACATCCTCGGTTGAGCATTATAGCAAAACAAACAAACAAACAAAACGAACAAAAAAAACCCCAAAAACAACAACAATAAGCACAAAGTTAAAAGAGTTAGCACAAAAATAAAGAACAGTCATTGAAGGATTCGAACCAAAGGCAAAAACTAACGTGCAAAAAAAGGGCAGTCGTGATTATAAAATAGGGAGTTTTTTGTTTTTTTTAACATAGGTTAAACTCTTTAAATAAAACAACAAGTTTATGGGCTTTCTTGTTATTCACAAGTTTCAGCGATTTAGCCCAGAGTCTAAAGTCATTCAGCCATCTGTTTATACATGGTTTAGCTTTAAAGTATCTGCATTTGTGAATAAAAATTTTTCCCATTAACAAAATCGTCCTAATCAACAGGTCAAAATCTGCATTCTCAGCAAGTATTCCAAATTTTATTACTGTCACCGTCAAATGTGGTAACTGAATTCTCCTGGACTGTAGCCAGCTCCACATGTCAGTCCAGAAGGAGTGCACTGATTCACAGTTGAAAAACAAGTGATCCAGACTTTCAATATCATTTTCACAAAATGTGCAGGCGTTCACATCTAAATTAAATTTCCGTCTTAAGAATTCATTGGTTGGATAAACCTCATTAATGATTTTAAAGTGAACCTCTTTTGCTTTAGGGGAAAGAGGAAGTGAAATATACTTTTTTCTTATCGCCTTAACCTCCATGGTCTCAAATTCTTTAAGGATATAATTTCTTTTAACCGGATTAGGGAAAATTTCGTTTATCAAAATATTCCTGATCACTTTGTTTGTAAACCTGCTGTCACCAAATTCAACTCCAGCTATGCAGAGCTGCCTCAGTCCAGGAGAAATTTTAGAGTGCACAATATCTTCTTTTATCATTGATCTCAAAGGGACTGGAATGGCTTTCACTAGGGATTTATATCTCTTAACAGTACATCTTACATCAAATTTCTCACAAAACGTCTCATGCTTTAATAAGACCCCATTATCATCCATAAAATGAGCTACAGCCCAAATCCCTTTAGATCTCCATTCATCCACGTACACAGATTTCCTACACAAACGAATATACCTGTTGTTCCATATAGGGGTATTGTGAGGAGTAAAGTTATGTTTGTAGATTAATTTCCAGTAGAGAAGGACCTGCTGATGGAAAGCTGAGAGTTTAACAGGTAACGAACTGCAATCAAAGTCACAACGTAACAAAAAGTCTATTCCACCCATTTTGCCAAAAATCACACTGGGAATAATGTTCCAAAAGGAATTTTTGTTCCTAATGAAAGATCTTAACCATTTCAATTTTAGTACACCATTCATAACATCAAAGTCAATGGCATTAGCCCCACCCTCTTCATAATTCTTAATCATATCATTTTTCTTTATATAATGACATTTGTTCCTCCATATGAACCTAAAATTAAGATTATTTATAGATTTAATTAGTTTTGGAGATATGGGCAGAGAAAAGGCTGGATAGATTAGTCTGGACAGACTGTCCATTTTGGTTAGCAAAATTCTCCCAAACAGAGTTATGTCCCTTTGCAGCCACCTGTTTAAAATAGACTTACACTTTTCTATATTGGTACAGATATTCTTATTTTCAGTTGATGTCTTATCCTTGCAAATTACAATGCCCAGATACTTAACCTCTTTTTTAATCTGTATATTATCTATTGCTTGCAGGGTACACTCATGCAGAGCTAGAATTTCGCATTTATTAATATTCAGCTGTAGGCCAGAAGCTTTGGAGAAATGGTTGATCGCCTGTAAGGCTAAAGGAATCTGGTCTTCATTTTTTAGAAACAGGGTGGTATCATCTGCGAGCTGACTGATTATTATCTGTTCACCCATCACAGTTAACCCCTCAATGTGACTGTTTTTAATCAAAATAGACAACAGCTCAGCAACCATGATGAACAGAAGTGGTGAGCTGCTACATCCCTGCCTTATCCCTCTATTAACCTCAAACCTTGAACATGTACCATGTTCTAGCAAAACAGAGCTGTTAATGTCATTATATAGCATCTCTATAACATTGACAAATTCCTCTCCAAAACCAAAAGACTGCAGAGTTTTTAATATGAACGTATGTTCAACTGAGTCAAAAGCTTTGTAAAAATCCAAGAACAGGATGTATCCTCTCTCTTGGATTAATTCACTGTATTCAAGGAGATCCAAGACCAGCCTAATATTGTTATGAATTAGTCTTCCTTTCAAAAAACCTGATTGTGTTTCACTGATGATGTTTGAGATGCCTTTCTTTAGCCTCTCAGCTACAGCTCCAGACAGGATCTTATAGTCAGTGTTTAGTAAGGTGATGGGTCTTAAATTGTCTAAAATTCTTTTATCCTTGCCCGATTTAGGAATCAGGGTTATCAACCCTTGTTTCATGCTCGGCATCAGTTCTCTTTTCTCTATCGATTCCTTTAATGCATCAAACAATAAAGTTCTTAGGTCCTTCCAGAAGAATTGATAAAAATTAGTAGTGAGTCCATCTGTCCCTGGGGACTTGTTTAATGCCATTTTCATGACCACCAAATCCAGTTCCTCAATTTTAAACTCTGAATCACACAGATCTTTGAAAGGCTTGTCAATACATGGGATGAGATTATGAATCTTATCAAAGAAACTATCAGAATCAGCTGCTGAATATTCTGAGGAGTACAATTTGGAATAAAAAGTGAAGACTTCCTTTTCAATCTTTCTGAAATCTTTACATTCAGTCCCATTTATCAACAAGCTTGAGATTAGATTTCTCTGCTGTCTACACTTTTCCAGCTTACTAAAATATGAAGAGTTCTTTTCACCTGCCTCAATCCACTTGGCTCTCGATCTTATAAAGGCACCATGGGCTTTCTCTAGGTAAAGATCGTCCAATTTAGATTGTAACTCCATCAATTTATTCTTCTCTTGCACGTTTAGTTTTTCTTTACTACAGCACTGAGTTATTTCACGAAGTAAATTACTTTCATATTCCCGTTTTTCCCTGTTCAGTTCTTTGCAGAATTTTATAGTGAATTCTCTGATTTTGAATTTAACAAATTCCCATTTCTGTATATTACCCACTACTGAGTCATCATTTTTTATATCTATAATTATATGTCTAATTTTATCACAAAACTTGTCCTTATTTAAAAGGCTGGCATTAAATTTCCAATATCCTCTGCTACTACGTTTCGTTCTTGTTGGTTCTAAGACAAGATCAATGAAACAGTGATCAGAAAGGGGTGCTTTGGAGATTTTAGATTGTGAAGTACACCTCAAAATGTCATCGCTCACTAACCAATAATCAAGTCTTGACCTGCTTTCTCCATTAGGTTTAAACCAAGAATAATTCTTAACTCCAGGATTCAAACTTCTCCAAATGTCTGTAAAATTATTATCACTAGAAAAGTTCTCAATAATGTTATTCTGTTGCCTCCTTCCTAAGCGAGGAGGCCATCTGTCCATCCATTCATCTGGTGTCATGTTCCAGTCTCCTCCTACTAGGATGTAATCTGTGGGGTACATAACTTTAAACTCTGAAATAACATTTGTTAGATTTTCCAATAGACTTTTATTTTGACCCTCATTATTATGTCCATAAAGATTTGTAACAATTAGAAATATACCTTCGCTCTTCAAGACTGCAGTTAACCAATGACCCTCACTATCAGCTTTATATGTTATAATCTCCCCTGGGAACTTATTAAAACAAATCGCCACACCTCCAGATCTGTTAGATCCATGACTGAAAAGAATCTTGTCTCCCCACTGATTAGCCCAAAAGGTAGCATCGGCATTCACAGAGTGAGTTTCTTGTAAAAACAGACAATGACATTTTTGCCCCTTGCAAAATAAAAAAAGTGCCTTTCTCTTAACAATTTCCTTCAAACCCCGAACGTTTAATGAACCAAAAGAAATTTTTGAGTGAACCATAATAAGAATATGCTAAGAAAATAACT